ACAGAGACAGAGACAGAGACAGAGACAGAGACAGAGACAGAGACAGAGACATAGACAGAGACAGAGACAGAGACAGAGACAGAGACAGAGACAGAGACAGAGACAGAGACAGAGACAGACAACGAGACACATGAAGACAGAAAGACGCAGAGAGGCCCTGGGTTTTGCTTTGTTAACATCACCTCGCCAGGCCGAGTGTGTTTTCGCCACCTTGGAGATCGGAAGACGGCAATGTCTCAAGCAGGACAGCCGCCGTGGTTTCCAAGTTACAGTTGTTGTCGATATGACCGGCCTCAACGTGTCTTTCATGGATCGCAAAGCACTTGCCTTGTGACTTGGCCTGACGAGGCTTCATAAGGGGTTCCGTCTTCGGCATTCGAACGGTTAGTGTAGCACTCCCTGGCATCGATTATCGATTTTCGACATCGCGAGACGTGCTTCGGCAGAACTGAGATCCAGGTGCCAGCTGGTGTCCAGGGTTGAAGCCGACAACTACCCGGAAGCCTTGAAGCGCGTCATTGTGATCCGGGCCCCCTGGATCTTTCCAGCCATCTGGAACTTTTGCAAGCCCTTCTTCGACAAGGGAACCTTGGAGAAGGTCTGCATTGTGAAGGAAAGCGAGACGACGGATGTGCTGCTGAAACATATTCCCGCGGAGAGCGTGCCAAAGGCCCGCTGAAAGGGGGATTCGGGAGGCTGCTTCTTAACAAGGGCCGCAGGTTGTCGGGGCTTGAGTCTCTAATGCAATTCCGCTCACAGGCACTCGGCGGGACCTTATCCGGTGGCAGCGGCGACGAGTACTGCTCCACGATTATTGCGCCCGGCGGAAAAATACCTGAGCATGTCATTGCGATGACTCATTCCAACTAAACTCCGTAATTACTTCGTTAGTTTTCCGAGTGGCTCTCAAACCAAAGGGCACCGTGTCGGGTTCCATCTCGATGAAGCGTGCAAAAAAGAGAACAGTCTTGTCTTACAGCTCCTCGACTCGGATGTGTCCTTGATTGAGTTTGATGGAGCAGGCAGGAAATAGTTAGAAGCGGCTTTTGCGCCTTGTGACAGTTTTCCCTGGGCGACTCATTCCTGATTTTCCCTGAGCCGGCTAGGCTTTGCGTCCACAGGGCTGTGGGGACTTCTGAAAATGATGCTCGCGTGTCATTGCCAGCGATTGTCTAGACTATAAACTGTGTAGACTATCATCAGACTATCATCCTTTACAGGATCGAATCCTGGGAATGCTTTCCCGAGTTGGTAGAACTTTAGCATACAGTCATTGACGCTGACATGTTGGCACTCTGGGCAAGTGGCCGAAGTCCCACCATCTTACTTCCAATTGTGACCTGGCAGTTGGTGAGGACACTCAAAGAGAGTGAGCTTACGCTTTCTGCGAGGTCACCAGATCGACAGCATCAATCATGGACTCGCAAAATCAGAGGTACATTACCGGGATATTTGCCGTCTGTCCCCAGCCTAGCAGCAGAGAAGGTAACCTTCAACCTTTTTTGGGGGGTTATATAACCCCGAAATCATCCCAATGTACTCCCAAAGGTTAACCTTTAGTTCCCAGGATACTCGAGAAGTAGGCTATAGAGTTCTTCAATCTGTCGGTCTCCCGACGATGAGACCTGTCTCAGCAATCCAAAGAGCCACCAACCCAACGCTTGCACCTTCAAAAATTTGAAGAGTGGTTTGGGCATTTTGGGTGGTTAGACTTAATTTTATTATGGAGCAACGAACCCTAAGGACTTAGAGTATCGAGCGAGGTCAGCTTTGCCGTTGGCAAGGGGAACGTCGCTGGGAAGTCTAGCCAGGACAAAGCAGGGCCCCAAGGAATTCTGCTCAGCTCGTTCTCGGAGGGTGGGCCGACTCCATAGTTTGTCGAAGTTTCTCCAAACCTCAACCATCGATCTGAAATTCGTAGGCTCTTCCCTAGACCTCGAAGCACAAGAATGTCTCGGGACAAGGTCCCTTCGGTAGTCTCCAAAGCCTCGCAGGGCTCCTCCTTCCCAGGGCTTCGAAAGCCCCGGGATCACCTCTCCGAAGGTCCTAACATCGCTTAAGACACTCTGCTCCAGATCCCGACAAGGTTTGTAAGGGTTTAAGGGTTGTTATCTTTGGTTTAGGTTTAGGATTCTTGGTTTAAGGCCCACACGGGTTGAAGGTGCTTCAGGATTGCAGCACACGAACCTTTGCAAGTAGGTCAAGCATCCAGTGCCCCTCATTCTGGAGCACGCCCATGAGCCAGTCTATACCGCAAAAGCCCAACCTCTGTCATCACCCGAGGCAGCAGTTCTTTGCTGCAGCTAAGCTTTGGATCTACTTCTGCTCGGCTCCATCTAATCTGCAACTGACATGTCCGCAGAAGTCTGTAAGGCGGCGCAGTCTGGTTGCCTGGAAGTGCGATCCCCCCTAAGGCTGCAATCAACAGCAAAGCTCCTACCTTTCGACAAGAGCTCGCAGGTGTGTCTCAGCCCGCAGAAGATCTGCGCAGACACTTTGCTCGTGGAAGCGACCCAGATGTCCCCTGATTGCAAGTAAGTTTTATGTGTGGACGTACGTACGCATGCACATATGTCTGTATACTGTTTGTATGTACGTAATTATGTATGTATGTATGTATCTATCTATCTATCTATCTATGCATGTGAATACGTGTATGTATGTGTGTGTATATATATATACACATACATAGTAGGTTAGATGATGGACTGTGCCGGATTCGCTCACTGCGCGGCTGACTGATTACCGCTTGCCGACCTGCGATCTGGCCATGCTGGGCGCCCGAGCCACACAATCATCGTTCGATGCATCATCTGTACGATCTGCTTGAACATCTTGTCATGGTTTCTTATCACTAAGAAAGTCGCTATCTGACAAGTCTGTCTGTTGTGGTACTTATCCGGATCATCTGGGGAAGACTCGGACGTCGTCGTCTTTTGAGAGCCGGTTTCTCCTGGGCATGATTCAAGCCGAGCGAGAGTCGCGCAATCGCAACGGGCAGGTCTGATGAGCCCTTCAGCATCGTCCCACACCCAGCACAGGGCAGAGTGCTTCGATCAGGACTTTGATCGCCTTCTGCAGGTTCTCAGAATTGGGGCATTTTCGGGGACACGGGCTGTCAGTGTGGAAGATATGCGAGTTGTTGCATGCATGAGGTTTGGGTATAGAGAATCAAAATTGAATGAATCACCAAACCCAAGCCGAGATGGAAGGGCACGAGAGCCGAGAAAGTCAGGGGTTGGGAGAGATGGAAATAAGAGGAAAAGAGAGATGGATGTGTGACGCCATGGTATGTAGACGTATACTTGTTTATTCGATGTCACGTGCGTGCAGCAGAGCAGAAATGCGGGGTTATATGAAGCAAAGTACTGAGTCGGTAGATGGATGTCTAGACATGGCATGAGCGCTTCCTTACATGAACGGGTAGGGGTGGGTGTTCTATTCGCATAGCATACATGCATACAGACAAGCGGACGAGGTATACAGATGTCGTAATGGGTAGACAGGTGTTTGAAGGTGTGTATGTATGTATGTATGTATGTATGTACGTATGTATGTATGTATGTAGGTAGGTATGTAGGTATGTATGTAGGTGTTTCCGAGCATGCCAATCTCAGTGGTCAGCTACGTATAAGTTTTTGGAGGACAGCTTTGAACGACAGTCTTGGAGCCTTTTTCTCGAGATTTGTCAGGGGGAAGCAAACCTGGGTCATGCAGAGAAATAAAGAAGCTGTAGCCTTCTGAGGCTTTCTCTTCCTGTAACCAGCCATCACTTTCTTTCGTCGCACGTAACTACGATGCCCCTGAAAATTCAGAGCTACAACTTGTCCAACCCCAAGCGCAAAAGCCATGTGTATGAAGTCCTAAATCTCACGCTTCGAGTTTCCTTTCGACGGCGTGGTTGGCTTGGGCATGCCGAGCCTGTCATTGACCAAGGCAAGGGATGGCAGACGTCGCGTCCATTTGTCTCTGTGTGTGTGTGTGTTTTCCTGGGGTTTGGTCTATATTTTCATGTGTGTGTGTCTGTGTGCATGAGATACATACATTGACATATATATATTCATTTATACATATATATATGTATAAATATATACATATATGTATATATACATATATATATTTGTTTTTCTCGTTCTTTGTCTGTCTATGCCAATCCTGCAATAGATGGCAGCATTTATTTGCTTGTTGCTTCACCTCGGTAGTGGCCCCCACCTTGTGCATTCTGAGCCCAGCTGGTGCTAGATATGAGAGTCTGGGGATCAGTGTTGTTGGATGTTGTTGGCAGGTCTGCACAGGTTGACAGATCAGATCTGAAGACTGAGCATTCCTGAACACTGAAAGTCGCCGGTCTGCCAGCTCTTTGGCAAATTGACTATCTTTCCACACTCGAACACTGTTGATAATGCACCTCGCAGTCTTTTTGTCCTTCTTAGTGTAATGCTGGCTGATGAGCATGATCTTGCTGCTCTTCCTCTCTACGACGATGACAACGGCGACGAAACTCTAAATTCCTAAACCTCAAAACGCAAGGTCCCAAACTCTAAAACCTTAAGCCATGATCCCTGCTACTGTTACTCCTACTACTGCTACTGCTGCTGCTGCTGCTGCTGCTGCTACCAGCTACTGCTCCTGCTGCTGCTGCTGCTGCTGCTGCTGCTGCTGCTATTGCGACAACTACAACTACAACGATCACAGCGCATTCTGCTGTGATGTTGCAGTATTCCTGAGCGCCGCAGATGCACAACTTCCTGGGCAATCTCGCAGATGTGCCTGCCTGAGTCCTGCATTTGCAGTGCTCCGGGTCTAGTCGAAGCGATGGCCCAGGATAGGCATGGCAAAAGGTGCACCGGAGGGCCTCCTTAGTGGAAGAATTTCGGAATTCCGATTCACAAAGCCTCGCTCAGAGGCTGCGCCGTTCGGCTGGTGGGATTCACACTTGCACTGCAGGCGTGCATACACAGAGCCCGTTGCATGGGCTGATGATGCACCGCTACCAGGTTTATCTGAGGGTGGCTCACGGAGTCCCGGAGAAGTTGTATCCCAACACACTTCCAACTCAGCATCCTCCCCTTTAACTAAGGATTCTATAGGGTGTCCTTTAAAGGATGTTTAAGGGATGTACAGCGTTCATGGGCTCAGCACAGCAGATGTGAGGAGCGGAGTCTCATCAAGCCTTTGTCTGAGGCGAACCAGCTTGACAAAGATCGTTTTGCCGTCTGGTTCGCCACGGAGGCAACTCAAGCGCTTCTAATACAGGGGCCTTAATGAATAAGCTAGGCTTTCTTTCTCCGGATTGTGTATCCGGAGTCTAGTAGAAACACAAGGACCCTAAGTCCTAAGTAATAGCATTAGGAATTGCTCAAGGCTTCCATGTTGCCGTAGCTGGTTTTGGATCGGCCACCGGATCTTCAAGCAAGACGGTATTAGCAAACCGGGGCCAGGGAAACGGTCGTGAATCCCGGGTACTGCCCAAGAAGTTGATAGAGACTCCTCTCAAGCGGCCATCTCGTTTCCTTCTGGGACCAACCGGACCCTTAAGACTAAAGTCTATAAGCCCTAAACCCTTATTAAGGGGTTGCTTTAAGGGATTCCTTTGACGGGCTCGTTTAAGGACTTCTTTACCCTGCCAGGATGACAAGGAAGACTCCGAGATCAGTTTCGGAGCCCTGCCGCCCAACCGACTGGGCTCAGAAGTTGCCTGGCTGCCCCTCTCCTCGACAACCTCGGGTCTGTGGCAGGCAGAGCTAGCTAAAGTGTTCGAGAGGTATTCAGTATCAGAGCTGGTAGGATCATGGTACGATGTGGCACATCAGTCCTACGGGTGAGAGGTCCAATAAAGATCTTGCATTCTGGCCTGGAAGGTGGAGATG